TGGTCAAAATTATATAAAATATGACAAGAACAAGTTAAAAACAGATTAAAAAATTATTTAAAAAACATTAGAGCATTACATCGTGAAGCCACTTGATGATTGCACAAATTAGTGGTCATGGAATAATGAGTGACATGAAACCCTTTGACAGAAGGCCGAAGGATGTCAATGTCAGTGTTGAAAGATGGAACGAATTCTGGGCGTGTCCCAAACGTTGCCAAATCACTTCAGATGATGAATTTAAATTAACAATTATTGATAAATCGTGAGGAGAGAATTATTATTTTGAGTGGAATGAAATTTACTGGTGGAATCGGCCAAAACACAGATTCTAATTATGGTTGTGAAGAGTTGAAATTTGGGGAGATATGTAAGTTCTCCAATTTTTCGCAGTTTAGCAAATATGAGTAAATGACACTCAGTTGTTTAACATCTGTCTTTTTGTTGATACAGTTGTTATTCATGAAAATGTGGGACATTTCCAGGAATAAACGTTTGGAAAGGTGTTTTTCTTTATCAAGAACTTTGATACTTGTGTAATTCATAGAATGCCCTGTTGTGTTAACATGAGATGCTAGAGCGCATCTTTCAGGATGAAGCCTAGCATCACTTTTGTGTGATGTAATCCTTCCTTTAAGAGATCTGGAGGTCTGACCTATGTATATTTGGTTGCAGTTGTTGCAATTGATGGAGTAGACTGTGTTGGTTAAGCCAAGCAGCGGGACTTTGTCTTTCATTTTTGAAAAAATGCAGTTTATAGTGAGGACGGATTTGCAAGCAATTCGAAAGTTCAAAGGACTGCACAATCTGATTAGCTTAGGGGTCAGTTCCTTGATGTAGGGCAGGACAGCGAAACCAGGTCTGGAGTCCGGGTTGGTGCTTGTACTGTTAGGATTGATGTTATTATTGGGAATTACATCAGTTCCGTTATTGGGGGTTGTGCGACTATTACCTGCATCACCAGAGTTCGGCAAAATATTGGAAGGTGAACTAAAAATAATAGTCGCACAACCCCCAATAACGGAACTGATGTAATTCCCAATAATAACATCAATCCTAACAGTACAAGCACCAACCCGGACTCCAGACCTGGTTTCGCTGTCCTGCCCTACATCAAGGAACTGACCCCTAAGCTGATCAGATTGTGCAGTCCTTTGAACTTTCGAATTGCTTGCAAATCCGTCCTCACTATAAACTGCATTTTTTCAAAAATGAAAGACAAAGTCCCGCTGCTTGGCTTAACCAACACAGTCTACTCCATCAATTGCAACAACTGCAACCAAATATACATAGGTCAGACCTCCAGATCTCTTAAAGGAAGGATTACATCACACAAAAGTGATGCTAGGCTTCATCCTGAAAGATGCGCTCTAGCATCTCATGTTAACACAACAGGGCATTCTATGAATTACACAAGTATCAAAGTTCTTGATAAAGAAAAACACCTTTCCAAACGTTTATTCCTGGAAATGTCCCACATTTTCATGAATAACAACTGTATCAACAAAAAGACAGATGTTTAAACAACTGAGTGTCATTTACTCATATTTGCTAAACTGCGAAAAATTGGAGAACTTACATATCTCCCCAAATTTCAACTCTTCACAACCATAATTAGAATCTGTGTTTTGGCCGATTCCACCAGTAAATTTCATTCCACTCAAAATAATAATTCTCTCCTCACGATTTATCAATAATTGTTAATTTAAATTCCCATTAATAATAATATAGTTTATTCAACTGCCTCTGGTCGGTTTAACAAATTCTAACATAAAATTCTGAAAATCTCATCATCTGAAGTGATTTGGCAACGTTTGGCACACGCCCACAATTCGTTCCATCTTTCAACACTGACATTGACATCCTTCGGCCTTCTGTCAAAGGGTTTCATGTCACTCATTATTCCATGACCACTAATTTGTGCAATCATCAAGTGGCTTCACGATGTAATGCTCTAATGTTTTTTAAATAATTTTTTAATCTGTTTTTAACTTGTTCTTGTCATATTTTATATAATTTTGACCATTGTACAATCTATCCAGCTCTCACCATGTTACTGGACGTTTCCCTCATCCTATACGTAAACAACAATTAGCAACATCCTCACATACTACTGTAAGTTGAGTCAATTTAAATTCATTTTACACCTTTGTTGCTACTGTTATCATTGTAATTGCAGCTCCTGATGATGATGGCAAAGTCCATTGAAAGCTAGAGAGAATTAAAAAAAGTATAAAGAGTCCTCTTTGCTTAAATTTTGTCGAAGTACCCAACAAAAGGCGGAAGCTTCAATTTTTCACCTAACTGGTCTAGACGACAATGACCACGTCTCAAGTTATATATATATATATATATATATATGAGAATTGAAGCTTAGGGCAATTATCGACGATTTACTGATGCTGATTGGGAGATTGTTTATGACACATCATTCTGGTACCTTGTCGATGTCACCCTGCAGGCGAGTACAATCCGCACTGCTTTCGACACTGTAATAAATCTCCAAGTTGTTGAATTATGAGCGACTCAACCTACAAAAACGCTAAACTTTGGCAGATGTCAGTCCACCATTTTAAGATTTAAATACTCCTATTATAGACTGATAATCATATGGTAAGTAGCTTCAAAATGGGGTATCGCATGAACCTTAATCCGATTTAAACTGACAAGATTTATAATAGGCGCAAAATATATCACCCGCAAAATAAATAAAATCGACAGATTCGAGCGATTTTTTTGACTAAATGTCATTTATCAGAGAAAAGTTCAATAGGGTCAGCAAACTAAGTTCCATATTCGTAGCAGTGACACATTCTCAAGGTAGGCAAAATATGCAGCTGAGGCAAGCTACTACACAGTACAAGTTTTGCAAAATGGCAATCTGAAATAAAAATCGCACTTGGCAGTTGTGGTCGCAGTTATGTAATAAGGGTGAGGAAGGAACTCTACTTGATTTTCTAAACGTCCTGAGGGTCCCGCACTACAAACGTGTATTCTGAGCATAATTTTTTTTTATATGAACAAGAAAGTGTGAGGTTACCATGTTATTAGAGATTTGAGGAAGACAGCCCTTTCTCTATGACATTCAGTTGGACAGGAAATAGACACGTTCCATTTGAACCAGAAATAAATATTAATTGCTATTGGATTATTCTTCCAGCAGGCAATACAAAACAAGTACATACAATTTAAATGAGTTCTCTTTTGATGCGTGCATTTCTCATACGTTTGTTCTAATACCCGAGTGACAAAAACGTGTATTCTGAGCATAATTTTTTTTTATATGAACAAGAAAGTGTGAGGTTACCATGTTATTAGAGATTTGAGGAAGACAGCCCTTTCTCTATGACATTCAGTTGGACAGGAAATAGACACGTTCCATTTGAACCAGAAATAAATATTAATTGCTATTGGATTATTCTTCCAGCAGGCAATACAAAACAAGTACATACAATTTAAATGAGTTCTCTTTTGATGCGTGCATTTCTCATACGTTTGTTCTAATACCCGAGTGACAAAAACTGGATGAAAGGAACTTGTTTGAGCTAACAAAAGAATCATCTTGTCTAGTTAGAAAACACCACCATATTATTAAACTTTTTATTATAATCTACTCTTTACGTCATTTTATTTATCAGCCTCCTCAGTTCATTGTGATCCAGGTACCACTATCGCACGGACTTCAACAAGTATCAAATTTTCTATCGATGAGCGCCAGTAACTCCGCACAGCGGAGGTTTAAGGCTCTGTCAACAAAAGCAGACGCTGCTCATTAACAATAATTATCTCTTATACACATACTGCAGCTACATCTCGTCTGCGTTACCTTTTTCTATTTGGGCCTTATAAAGCATTATCTCTACCTATACACCAAGCGCCATTAATGCGGAAATAGTTCTGGAAAAATGTTTTCACATGGAGCAGTTTGATAATAGTATTAGCTTTGAGCTATATTACTGCAGTGTAGCTAGAAAAAATAGTTAGCATTAAATCATACTGATTTATTATCGAGTTCAAAAATGGACCAAGTCGTTGTTTTTACATAACTAGGTGAAAACTGCTTTGCAAGCTTAAGATGGAAATTACTGTGTAAACGCCACAGATGCTGATGGTTGAAACATCAGGCTTTTAAAGCAGTTCGGCTTACATATTGAGAATATGTATTGGAGTAGTGCATTTAGAGAACATGACTTTAGCGGTTTTCATCTTTTATAAAGACGAGGCTATTTCAGGTAACATTAGATAAAGCGGCCAGTCATGATGCTAAAACGTTGCAGAAAACGTAAAAATTTTGAAATAAGAAACCCCATTAATTTCAAAAACGTTTGGTTTGAGAGAATTGTAAACATTAACTGTAGTATTAGATTCAAAACACACGTTTTCGCAGTAATTCGTGGTTGCCTTACTTAATATACGAGAAGTAGCCCAGAATAATTTGGGAGGAATTTGCAATATATCCTATAGTATTGAATTGAATGCAGTCTGAATCTCTAGTCGGTGAACTTTTCCATATTTCCTTTAGGCTACTTGTCTCATTTTTAATTAACAAAGAATCGAGAAGCAACATGCGTAAGATAACAATAAGTTAAAACGATTTAAAGTATTCAATAACAGGATGTGGGTTTTATGTCGAAAAATAGTATACGTACGTACTACATCAACATGTTAGAAATATTTTATGTTCGGGTTAGGGTGATCAACAGATTTGCCATCCTCCAACTAGAAAAACGTTGTTTAAAAAGGCAAAAGTTAGATAACTGTCTTAAAAGGTTTGTATACGTCATGTAATCGTGCACAAAAACTTAATAATGTCATCTCAACTACTCGGTCGGTTTAACTCCCAACATATTTGATGCTACGACGAATGAAAATGCATGACTTCTAGAGTGGCATCCCAAAATCCATTGGACTATAATCTAAACGGACTTTATCTTCAAAGTTCTGAGCTGATACCGTCTTCTGTATCTCAATTGGTTTTTGTTGTTCCAACTTGACCTTAAGTTACAATCCTGAAGTTGGCCTTCAAAACCTAACGGAATCCATTTATGCTCTAGTGCACGAACTTCTGTGAACAATTTCCAAATCTATTGATCCGCTTCATGTAAAGACATCCTTGTCAGAACTTTTTCCATTTTTCTCTAAGTCTTCCCAGGAGGCGCGCAGTGCTCTAAAATCTCATTATTTTGAGTCGGGTGTGCTTGGGTGTGAAATGGTCGTCTACTCTACCTATCAGCTGATCGAGAGACTGCGTGTTTGGGGCCCTTTCCGATGCGAAAAGGTACATAGTTTACGATGTCCACATCAACGCTGATGTCCATAGCAGAAGAAGTAGTAGGATAAGGGCGATTGAAGGTGGTCGGTGGTCGGCGGAACCCCGTTTACTGAGGTAGGTGTTCACGCAAGGTGATTCAGCTGAGCCTGTAACAATAAAGATGTATTAGAATAAATACGAACAAGAGTCAATTCAGCTTGCTTTACTAAAATATACTGCAATGCGAAATGCTTAGGTATGCTTTTTGATACTAGACTCAAGTGGAACCAGAATATTGCAAGGAAGAAGGAAGGGCTTAACCTCAGCTAGAAACAATATTATTGATTACATGGGAGATCCAAAAAGCTAATGCAATATTATGATCTATTGACAGATCTATGTGTCTCAAGAATTCCAGCGCCGAAATTACTCAAAACCTCCAAGATACTGTTCTGAGGAACATGCCTTTTGCATAACCACAACCCTATTCGTAGATTGCTTGATGTAGACCAGAATATTTACACAGTTTAAGCCACTGAAATTGCATCTTCAGCAAAACAGTTAGTCCACGTGGTCAATTATCTTCATTGGAAAAGTCATGATTATTTAAACGGTCCTGAGAGTTATTCAAGATATAAGAAAAAAGAAAATTTTGAAGGCTATTTAGCACAATCCCAAACATTTGTATCTTTGCCTTCAGTGTTATACCTACCCCAATTAGAAGTCTAAGGCAGGAGGAGTTACGCCACTGGAATTGTATCCACATGCAGCAAGAACATCCAGAGTCACTGTTGCCATCCGAGGACATAAATATGTGTCACATCTATTGCATTCAGATTTTACTCGTTTCCCACTCTAATTGAACGGTCTAAATAGATTTGTTGCCAAAGTATTTCGAAAAGAGTTTTTTAACCCTCGGGAGGGCGCGTCAGCGGCAAAAGGCAGCACAATTATATTTTGGCCTTATAGAAACAATATCAGTGCACCGATTCGGTTGCTTGTTTAGGTATTCCTCGTTCGGTCGATTTACCCCCACCTGCGGCTAGCGGCTCAGTTAGTACAAGACTTTGATAGGTGACGTTTCAAATTTGCGGTGTATGTGCCGCGGCGCGCCTAATCATGTAAGTATATTTTTCTTTGTTTTTATTGTAGATGAGATAATAATTTTCATATACTGTGAATGAAGTTTTTGAATTTATTAAAACCATCGACACAAATTATTACTAATTTGATAAATGATGTGTAAAAATGCTACTGACTAGCTTCACACACTTTTTGTTTTTTTTTTCTGGTCGCGAAGATTTTTAACCCCTGAAGAGTTAGCTGCAGAAGTGGAGCAAGCAATGAAAGAATTTGAACAGGAAAGGGCTGAAGAAGATGATCCAAGTGAGTCGGAATCCGAATCAGATGAGATAGTGGAAGAAGACCAATATAGCAGCCATTCTGAACAATCTGAATGTGACAGAGAGATGAACTTGGGAGACGTCTTCCAACAGCAAGATGATGACCAGTTCTTTATAGGAAAAGAGACGACTCGGAAAAGTACTCCTCTACCTTCTGCGAAAACTGCATCAAAAAATGTCATCAAATTACTACCAGGTCCCAGAGCAGCCGCTAAAAATACTCCCAAAGAAATAGATGCTTTCAATGTATTTGTTACAGAAGATATGATCGAAGATATTGTTACTAATACTAACATATATATTCAAAAAAAGAGGTCTGATGTTGAATATCCTAGAGCCAGTGATTGCCGTGATACCACAAGAGTTGAAATCAGAGCTTTGTTTGGTGCTCTATATTTTATCGGCAGAAAAAAAGGAAGGCACACAAACTGTTGCGAATTATGGGATCCCGAAGATGGTCACGTCATTTTACGTGCATTATTCAGCTACAACAGATTCAAGTTTCTTCTTCGAGCCGTTAGATTTGATGACTTGAATTCTAGAGAACAGAGGAAGTCAAGTGACAAGCTTGCACCAATTCGTGACTTTCATGAAACATTTGTGAGTAACTGCATTGCTAATTTCATTGTAAGTGATTTCGTGACGATCGACGAAATGCTGCATCTATTTAGAGGAGGCCTTGTTCAATATATTCCCAACAAGCGTGCCAAATATAGACTTAAAATATTATGCACTATGTGATGCCAAGACATTTTACACATATAACTTCGCAGTCTATTGCGGAAAACAAATGCCAGGTCCTTACTTGAAGTCCAACAAACCAGATGACATTGTCAAAAGATTAGTAGTTCCGATTGAGGGTTCAAAAAGGAAACTTACTACTGATAATTATTACAGTAGCTTTCCATTGACGGAATATCTCCTACAAAAGGCAATTACTTTTCTTGGAACATTGAAGAAAAATAAAAAAAATACCTTTTGAATTCTTGGCTCGTAAAGATAGAGATATTTATTCAAGCATTTTCGGCTTTCAATATGATTGTTGTTTGGTTTCAACTGTGCCAAAAAGAAGCAAAGCTGTGATTTTCCTTTCAACAATGCTCATTACCAGTGGCGTAGATAAAGTTACCAAGAAGCCTGTGGTAAATTTAGACTACAACGCCACAAAAGGGGGGTGTCGATACTGTAGACTAGATGTGCGCATCCTACAGTACATCAAGAATTACGAGACGTTGGCCTCTTTCTTTATTTTATCGATATCTTGATATTGCTGGTATGAATGCCCGAGTTGTTTTTATGTTCAACAATGTTGAAAATAAGGACCGAAGAAGATTATTTTTGAAAAAACTTTCCTCAGATTTTATGAAAGAGCATTTAGAAGAAAGAAGTTCAATTAAAACGCTGCCTAAAGATATTTCTGCTTATTTGGAAAAATATAAGAGAAACAATGAGATGGAAACCACTACTGTAAAACCTGGTATTTGTTTTCTTTGTGGAAAACACAAAAATAATAGAACAAAATCTACATGTAAGCTATGTGAAACAAATGCTTGCAAGAAGCACAGCAGTATAAGTATAACATGTAATGAGTGTGACGATAATGTGAATGAAAATATGGATATTAATTAACCAGATAATTTAAGTTGTTTTTTGTGTTTTCATTTTACTGTACCCTTTTATTCACTTGTAACTCTAGCGGCTTATTTTAGAGTGTATTTCAAATTAACACCGTATTTATTTCAATAAAACGTTTCAAATATAATAACCAGCTATACCTTTAATATAAATGTAATTTTTTTTAAAAAACTAACGCATAAAGGTCAAAATTCTGAATGCGGTGCAAAAGCCGCAGGGCGCCCACTCATGAGAGTTGACCAGGGGCGCCCGCCGGAGGGTTGAAAACTGCTTTCTCGAAACGCCTGACGTAATTCATGAATTCTTAGTGACATTATTGATTTGTACATTCAAGTCTTCTAAAGGATTTTGATTGATTGCGTTTAGTGATAAATATTGCCTTTGAAAAAATATAATGATCCATCAACAGATGCATTTATCAAATCAAAACAAAAAACTTTTCTCCATTTAAGGACTCTGTCTGAATGAAATCTGCTTACTTTCTGTCTCTGTGACCATAAACAACTGATACAATGTTGTTTCCTGCTTTTGGCAATCATCAGAATGGTACCTATAGGTCTAGACATTGGAGACGAGGACCGAAGGAAAACAAAGAAGCAAAGATGAATCTTCTGAAACTCAGTATTAAGGTATTCTGTATGACCGTCCATTTTCATATAAGCCTACTTGCACACACACCGATTTTGGACGGCCGGCAAAATATCGAGCGACTTTTTATCGGTAGGTTCTGCTTACATACGCGCCGGTTTTTTACCGGTGCAGTGAAGATTTCCAATATTATTTTTAATGAATCCCCAACGAGTTGTTGCAATGTAGTTACTGTACTAGCGTATAAAGCGTCGGAGAATTAATCGAAAGTTCTGGATTCATTTTTCTCTTTGGACTCCATTTCTTTAAAATCCTCATTCAGTTCGCAGCAAACTTGGCTCATCACATCGCATCATCCTTGGAAACAAATAAAATGTTGATCAGTTACAAACTGTCAAAATTAGCTTTGAGAGCATTATAATAAAAACGTGTTTGTAAATGAATTTTTCTAAAGAAGAAATGGTGAATATTGTGTTCGTTTTGGGTGAAGCCCAAAGAAATACTTTCCTAGCATCTCGCATGTACAAGCAACGGTACCGTAATATGCGACATCCAAGGCCGGAAACATTTTCCACACTGAGTTAACCTTTTGAATCAAGTGGAGCAGTAGAATATAGTAAAAAATGTATAAGTAATCCAAGTTTAACCAGTGAGGCGAATCAGTTGGGGGTTCTATTAAAGTTGCAGGAAAATCACCATTTAAGTGCACGGCAAATTGGAGCAGAATCAGATATATGCAGAACTTCTTCCCAAAGGATTACTTACAAGCATAGGTACCATCCATATCACCAATGCTTGCGTCAAGGTATTCGTCCTCAGGATTTCGCAGCTCGAATGGATTTAGTAGAATAATGCTAAATAAAGTGAGGGAAGACACTACTTTCCTGGATAAGGTTCTTTTTAGCGATGAGGCAACTTTTATCAGCGTAGGTGTTGTCAACATGCATAACATGCACTATTATGCGACGGAAAACCTTTACTGGGTTAGGCAAATAGATTTCCAAAATAAATGGAGCTTGAATGTTTGGGGAAGAGTTATTGGTAGACAAGTTATCGGGCCTTTCTTTTTCGATAACGGATTAACAGGTACAGAATACTTGAATTTTTTGATCGAGCATTTGAATTTGCTTTTGGAGGATCTCAACCTGCAAACCCTGATGCATATGTACTTCCAACATGACGGCGCACCTACGCATTATCATAATCGTGCGCATAACTATTTGCAAACCTGGAGTAACAATCGTTGGATCGGTCGTGATGGGCCTATAACTTTGCCTCCTAGAATACGAGATATGACACAGATGGACTTCTTTCTATGGGGCTACGATAAGCAAGAGGTTTATAGATATCCACCATCTACCATTAAAAATATGAAGGAAAGGATTAAGGGTGCTTTTCTGAACATAAGGGAACACGTGTTGAGGCATGTGCTATGGTCATTTATTTAAATACTACGGCTATGTTTTCAACATGGTGGAGATATTTTCGAGCAGTTTTTGTAGATTAGGTCTTGTTTGTTTATGTTGTTGTTACAGTTGTTTCT